TGAGACTATAAAAGAAGTCAAAAATAAATAGAAAGATTATCATGGTTTTTGATTAATAAAGTCTCAGTTCTCCCTCAAATATATGTCTAAATTCCATGATATTCCCAATTAAATCTAAAGAATTTTAAGAGTTTTCATAGACTTATTCTAGTTTGTGGAGGGGAGAAAATGCGTGAATAGTAAAGAATTTTTTGAAGCAGGACAATAGGAGTGACTACTTTAAAGATATTTATAGAACATCTTACAATAATCAAGCCAGACCTCTGTACACAAGAGATTTCAGGGTATGCTAAACAAAGGTGGCCTTTCAACCAGTGTGGAAAAGATGAGTGACCCCAAAACTGTATTGGCACACGGGATGGTTGCCCACTGGGAAAAGTAAACTTCAGTCGGTTTACCATTTAGAAATATAAATGCCAAATAAACTAAAAAGCTAAATAAAGCAAACAAGTATTTACATATTAGAAGACAATATAATAAGAAAATGTTTTGATTTTGGAATAGTGAAGAACTTCAGCAAGTCGGAGATCTCAGAAGTCCTTAAAAAAAACTAATATATTTGACAAAACAAATCTATAAAGCATTTATTAGACAGTAGACAGTATATATAAAGAAAAGGCAAGCAAGACAAGATACCTGTATTATCCAGAATATGTAAGGAATATGTAAAGAAATCTGACATTATAGCAATGAGAAACTATCCAATAAAAATTATCCCGTGAAAAATTATCCAAAAAAAAAAATGGCAAAGCACATGGATGAGTGAGTCATGAAGTACCTACCAATGCTTAATCCAGGAAGAGATAGTCTTAATAAGAAATCAGGAACAGGCAAAAAATAATAAATTAAATAAATAAATAAACAAACTAACGGCAATGACGTGTGTTTGATCTGCAAAATTGGGCGGTGTGGAGAAAGGTATACTTTGGTGGGACTGTCAACTCTTAGGAGGGAAATTTCGGCAATATCTTTCAAAACTCCAAATATGCACAGTCTTAAACCCAGTGATTTTACTTTCTTCTGTCTTCACAAAATATTGTCTTCACAAAATATTGACACATGTTGATTAGCTCTGTTAATCTGTTAAAACAATAATGGTGTATGTCTATGTTTTATATTTAGAAAAAAAACACTTAAAAAGAATTAAGTCAATTCTCAAATAATGGAAAGGTCCTCAACATGTATAAATGAATAAAATCAATTACAGAATAATTACGTTGTATTCAAACTTTAAGAAACTATATATTTTGTATGGGGTTAAATTGGAGAGAAAGATCAAGGTTTCCAAAGGCTGCACATATGCTGTTTTTTATTTTTATTTTTATTTTAGAGATAGGGTTTTGACATGTTTCCCAGGTTGGTCTTGAACTCCTGGGCTCATGCAATCTGCCCGCCTCAGCCTCCCAAAGTTCTAGGATTACAGGTGTGAGCCACCCCGCCCGGCCTGCACATCTGCTAACAGTGGTTACTGCTGGGGATTATGAGAGCCACAGAAACGGGACTTCCCTTTTTTGTACAATATTCAAAATGTTATTCTTAATTTTCACTATAAAATTTTATTCCAGTTTTATGCATAAAATAAAGATTTAAAAATAACTAGTATTGGTCAGGCGTGGTAGCTCACACCTGTAACCCCAGCACTTTGGGAAGCTGAGGCGGGTGGATCACAAGGTCAGGATATTGAGACCAGCCTGGCTAACACGGTGAAACCCCATCTCTACTAAAAATACAAAAAATTAGCTGGGCGTGGTGGCGGGCGCCTGTAGTCCCAGCTACTCAGGAGGCTGAGGCAGGAGAATGCTGTGAACCAGTGAGGCGGAGCTTGCAGTGAGCCGAGATCGCGCCACTGCACTCCAGCCTGGGTGTCACAGCAAGACTCCGTCTCAAAAAAAACCAAAAACAAAAACACACACACAAAAACTAGTATTATATTTATAATTACAATGTTCTATTAAAGCTAGGAGATTTATATCCTTACTAACAAAAATACAACAAGTAAAATTTATGTAGTCTAGGTAAACAGAAAATGTCACTACTTCATTAAAAGAGTAGGGCTCATTGAAGGTGAAAGGGAAAATTTGAGTCAATTAATTTAGGTAAATAATACCATGCATTTCCATCACTTCCCAAGAGAGAAAGAAAGGCCAAGAGACCATGTGGACAGGAAAGGAGGGCCTGGGGGAAGGAAAGGGATTGTAATGGAGGGAGTTTTGGGGGTCGGGTAAGGATTTGGGGGAAATGGTCGGAAAAGCAGTTGAGGGAGAGGGGATGAAGAGGAGATGCGGGAAGGAGAGGGAAGAGGTGAGAGATGGAACTGTGTTTTTGTTGGCAATTCAAGTAAGAACCAAGACATCTCAGGAGCGTTCCCAAGGAATGTCCAAATGCTCTGCCTTCCAGAAGCAGGTGCTGCTCTATTTCGGGAACTCTGTGGACATACTTAGCCGTCTAAATCTAGACTCTGGGTTGAATTCCCAGCACTCAGTTCTCCCAGGTCTGGCCTCCAGCAGCAGGACCAGAAGCAGCAGCGAGGAGAGGCAGAAACAGCAGCCACCTGGGCACTCCTCTCCATCGCAGAAGCAGCTCCCAGGTGGCTCTGCTGGCCCAGGCCCCTCTTCCTTCCATTCAGAAAAACACACGGCAGTTAACTGCATCCGCGTGCGCATCTGAGAAGGTAAACACACTTCATTTCCTGTTCATTGAGGGACAAAGGTATATGTGGTCTTTTGGCTCTCTTTTTGGGATCTACAATGAAAAAGGAGGGGAGAGCAGAGAATGGGTCACTTTACCTTGTCTGTTCTATGTTCCCACAAGGCCCTACCCTTAGAAAACCACAAAGGGAGGCTAGGTTTGCAATTACTTGAAGAGCGGGAAAGTGGATGAGAATCCAAGAGATGCTCTTTATTTTCTATTTGTCCAGGAAAAAGCAAAAAGCTGGCTCCGAAGCAGTCAGAAATCGAAGCTGGAAAAGAAGCAAGTGATGTGCGTTCTTGAGGTCCTCTGAAGAGATGTCTTGGAGACAACAGAAATAAATGACCCTGTAAATTTTCTTTATTCTACTGGGCACCTTGACCAGAGCACCTGGAGTTGTGGCCTAGCACAGGTGATGGGGAGGAACTCTTCCTGGATTAGACAAGGAAAACCCACCAACCACAAAGATGCAAGCTTCAAATGAGTGTATCTGTGGTGCTAGTATCCTAGCGGGAATCAGAATGCAATGACCTCAATGTGTGTTATTACACAGGTAGAAGCTTCTAGAACTATGCTGTAGTCAACCACCATGCGCAGGTAGGGGGCATTTAAAATGTGGTGAATTGAATTAAGATGTGCTGTAAGGGTAAAATGCACACCAGATTTCAATGACTTGGTGTGAAAAAATAACATAAAATATATAGACTTGTATTAACAATTTAGATGAATTATAAATTGAAATAATATTTATTCTAGTAAAATATTTTTAAAACTTTTATTTTCGATTCAGAGTTTGTTACATAGGTAAACTCACATCACGGGGGTTTATTGTGCAGACTGTTTTGTTACCCAGGTACTAAGCCTAGTACCCAATCGTTCTTTTTTCTGATCCTCTCCCTCCTCCCAGCCTCTACCTTCTGAGAGGCCCCAGTGGGTATTGTCCCTCTTTTTTTTTTTTTTTTTAGACGGAGTCTCGCTTTGTCACCCAGGCTGGAGTGCAGTGGCGCAATCTCAGCTCACTGCAAGCTCTGCTTCCCGGGTTCACGCCATTCTCCTGCCTCAGCCTCCCGAATAGCTGAGACTACAAGTGCCCACTACCACGCCTAGCTAATTTTTTGTATTTTTTAGTAGATATGGGGTTTCACCATGTTAGCCAGGATGGTCTCGATCTCCTGACCTTGTGATCCACCCGCCTCGGCCTCCCAAAGTGCTGGGATTACAGGCGTGAGCCACCGCGCCCAGCTGGTGTTGTCCCTCTTTTTGTGTCCATTTGTTCTCATCATTTAGCTTCCCCCTGTTTTTGTTTGTTTGTTTGTTTTTGGGACATGGAGTTTCACTCTGGTCACCCAAGCTGGAGTGCAATGGTAAGATCTCAACTCACTGCAACCGCTGCCTCCTGGGTTCAAGCAATTCTGCCTCAGCCTCCCGAGTAGCTGGGACTACAGTCGCCCACCACCAGGCCCAGTTAATTTTTGTATTTTTAGTAGAAAGGAAGTTTCACTATGTTGGCCAGGTTAGTCTCTAACTCCTGATCTCAGGTGATCTGCCTACCTTGGCGTCCCAAAGTGCTGGGATTACAGGCGTGAACCACTATGCCCGGCCAGCTCCCATGAATAAGTGAGAACATGTGATACTTGGTTTTCTGTACCTGTGTTAGTTTGCTAAGGATAATGGCCTCTAGCTCCATCCATGTTCCCACAACAGACATGCTCTCGTACTTTCTTATGGCTGCATAGCGTATGTCATGGTGTATATGTACCACATTTTCTTTATCCAATCTGTCATTGATGGGCATTTAGGTTGATTCCATGTCTTTTCTATTGTGAATAGTGCTGCAATGAACATACACATGCATGGGTCTTTATGGTAGAATGATTTCTTTTCCTTTGGGTGTATACCCAATAATGAGATTGCTGGATTGAATGGTGTTTCTCTTTTTAGCTCTTTGAGGAATCACCACACTGTTTCCCACAACGGTTAAACTAATTTACACTCCCACCAAAAGTGTATAAGTATTCCCTTTTTTCCACAATCTCGCCAGCATGTTATTTTTTTGACTTTTTAAAAATAGCCATTCTGATTGGTGTTAGATGGTATCTCATTGTGATTTTGATTTGCATCTCTAATGATCAGTGATACTGAGCTTTTTTAAAAAATATATATATATGTTTTCTGGCCACATGTATGTCTTCTTTTGCAATGTATCCCAGTAAAATTAATTTCACTTGTTTTTCTGTACTTTTAGAAGTATGGCTACTAGAAAATTTATGATTGTGTATGTGGCTCAGATTGTATTTCTATTAAAGGCAGTGATGTCTGGACTCTAGAAGATACTCTGATTCAAGAGGATGTAAAGAAATTCTCTAAGTCAATAGGAAAAATAGAAGAAACCCAAATGGGCAATGAGTGCATGGGAACTCACCTCAGTGGAACGGAGGGAATGGCAAGCCAGCCCACTGAAGCCCACTGGCAACACAGGACAAGCCTGCAAAGCAGAGACAGCCCCTCCAGGAAGAGCAGCCAGGCCTTGGGAGGACATGGCCTCAGGACCAGATCCAGGGAGGACACAGTCACTAACCCCTGGCTCATCTGGCAGGTGTGGGCAGCAGCCAGGCCCGTGGCTTCACCAGCTCCCCCTGATCTCTGCCTTCAGCTGTCCTGTAACCTGGGTCGGGCACCTATGCAGCTTTATGGCAGGCAGAGATGTACCACCCACATCCCCTTTCCAGGTAGGGCTTGCTGTCCTGGTTGTAGCGAGTGTGGCAGCAGATGGCCTCCAGCTATCAGCAACTTCAGAGAGCTGCCTTGCCTGAGGTCCCATCCCTTCTGGGGAAGCTCCCGTCTGCCAGACGGGCTACAAAAGCACAGTGGACACCATGATGGGCAAATATGGCTCATGGGAGCACCACTGGTGGCTGAGGCACTGTTGGGCCACATAGCAGTTGACTTTGCCCTCTCCACCTTCTTTTCACAAGAGTTGATCCCAATAAACATCCATCCTCTTCCATCCCAAACTGTCTTGGCATCTGCTTCTGGAGAGCCCAGCCTGGGGCAAGTTTCATGGGAAAGGGCACGTCTCCTGCAAGTTACCTGTGACCAGGAAGATGGAGGAGGGAGATGTGTCCCCATGGGTTCCAGTTTGTCCTTGCTCGTCCCCTTCACGCTCGCCTGTGCTTCCTGAATGTAACCAAGATACAGCAACTTCAGGCCCACCATCAAACTTACCAGCTCAAGCACTACAGAGGGTATAACTCCTTTAATAAATCCCTTGTTCCAGGCTGGGCATGGTGGCTCACACCTGTAATCCCAGCACTTTGGGAGGCTGAGGTGGGAGGATCACCTGAGCCCAGGAGCTCGAGATCAGCCTGTAGGCAACACAGGGAGACCCTGTCTCTACCAAAAAAAAAAAAAATAATAATAAAATAAATTATCTGAGGGCAGTGGTGTGTGTCTGTAATCCCAGATACTCCGGAGGCTGAGGCGAGAGTATCGCGTGAGCCCAGGAGTTTGATGCTGCAGTGAGCTATGATTGCACCATTACATTCCAGCCTGGGTGACACAGAGATACCCTGTCTCTGAAAAATAAAAAATTTTTAAAATCTCATTCCGTTTCACTTAAAGTGGCTCTGCTCCCTGAATAAGCCCTGTCATTAGGAAAAGAAAAAGAAAGCTTTAGAAAAGACAAAAAAAAAAAAAAAAAAAAAACAACCCACGATTTTTGACATCAGAAATGTTCTGCCTTAAAATGTGTTTAATTTTCCTGAAAACATATACTTTAATACCAATACAACATTTTATGTGACCCTGTAGGATTTCATCAGAAACTGTTAAATATTAGGCTACCTTTTCAGTTTTTAGTCCTATTTTAACTGAGGTTTGATTCTGAAAGAGTGAAATTCAAGGGTGATGAGTCTAGGCTGTGAGCTTTAGGGAAAGGAAAGGACCCTAGCATGAGACGTCAGATGTGTGCTTTACCGATTCCTGAGTCTGGCCAGCTGGCACTGGAAGGGCCTCTTGGTTTCAGAAGGTAGGATCCTCTAAGACGGAGTGTGGAAAACCCAAGAGGTGTTAAAAGCATTGTTCCTGCACTCAGGACACAAAAGATCCCCCCAAGAACCCCAAGGCGATTGTTTTTAGAACCCACGGGTCCATGAGGCCCTCTCCGCTCCCTGAGGTCTAGGAAAAATGGCCTTGAACCCCATTAGCCCCCACTCGACTTCTCCCTCTGTACCATCTTTTCGCAAGTGTTGATCCCAATAAACATCCATCCTCTTCCATCCCAAAGGCAGGGCTTGCTGCTTGGTTGTGGCAAGCACTTCTATCCCTTCCTTCACGCAGGATGTGAGTGGCAGAGGCACCTGGTGCCCTCTACCCACCATCCAAGCATGACTGCTGTTGCTTTTCTTCTGTCTTCTGAATGTCATGCAGTTTTTCTTGGGGCCAACCCTGAAGAGAACCATAGGGGAAGAAAATTCTGGGCAAAGTAGTCCCAGTCAAGCTGACACAGGGCAAACCACCCCCCCTAAACCAGATGATCGCACTCCCCAGTCTCCCTGGACACTGGCCACCACGCAGCAGCCTCCCTTACACTGGTGGCTGAGGGGCTGATGGGGCAGGAACAGTGCCAGTGCCTGCCCAGGGGCCTGTGTTCCCACGACTTTGCACCTTCTGTCCTCCCACAGACAGCTGCCCAGTCTGGGGGAGTAAAGTGCAGGTAGTGATAACAGTTACCACCCCAAGGCCCTTATTGTTCTGAATTAATTATGGTAAATTAATACATATTCTATTTACCTACATTAACATAAACTAGTTAGGGACTTCACAACTGCAGCATTACCACCCAAAGATGAAAATAATGACCTGAAGAAAGGAATGAGTCAAAATTACACATTCCTGCAAAGTGGTTTATTGACAGCTGATTTGTCAGCCAAAGAACAAACCATAATGATGGGAATATTGATGATTTCAACATTAAAAAGTTTAAATAAGGTCAATCTTTACATACTAATTAGGAGCCACCTACAAGACGTATCGGGCAAAAAGAACAAGATGCAGAACAGTGTGTGGCTGGTTTGCTACCGTTTGTTTTAGAAGAGGGGGAAGAATATATATGTGCTACAGACATGTTTATATTCTATGTGTACTTTTATGTACATGTGCTTATACCACGTGTATGTGCATATCTAACTTTGCACAACCCCTGGAAAGGCAAGTTGACTCTGGTGTCATTGGTGGCTGAGGAGGGAGGTGGTGGCTGTAGGACAGGATGGGAGGGACACATCCCTACATAATACTTCATACCTTTTAGCTTTGAACCATGTGCAATTATTACCTATTGAAAAATAAGTCAAAAACTAAAAATCAAATACACAAAAAAACTGCAGCAATAAACCATTAAAAAACATACATTCAGTTGATCACAGCCCACAGTATACTGGGAGCTGTCCATTTAGTACTGATGGCTTATACTGTCATATGATTTTTTAAAAAAATCCCCTGAGTTCCTCTCAACCTCAATTTCTAATCTCAAATACACATTTTAAAAAGACATGATTAAAGAATAGCCAGAACTGCACGTAATCTTTTTTTTTTCTTTTTTTTTTTTTTTTTGAGACGGAGTTTTGCTCTTGTTGCCCAGGCTGGAGTGCAATGGCACAATCTTGGCTCACTGCAACCTCCAGCTTCCGGGTTCAAGTGATTCTCCTGCCTCAGCCTCCCGAGTAACTGGCATTACAGGCATGCGCCACCACGCCCAACTAATTTCGTATTTTTAGTAGAGACGGGGTTTCTCCATGTTGGTCAGGCTACTCTTGAACTCCTGACCTCAGGTGATCTGCCAGCCTCAGCCTCCCAAAGCACTGGGATTACAGGCATGAGCCACCGTGCCAGCCACTGCACATATTCTTAAATGAAGTCCCAGGGAGGCCTCAGGTCTAACAGTCATCCAGTCTGAGGCTCCTAGTTTGGGCAAGTTGGTCCTCGAGTCCTTGGCCAAACTTGGCAGCAAAGAGTGAGGTGATGAGGTCATCTCCAGTGTTCAGAGCCAGGTCGTACGCTGTCTGGCCTCCTGCATTCTTCTTTCGGATGCTTGCATTGCATCTGCAAAGGAAATGGAGAAATGGAGGTGCACTGAAGGACTTGAGCATGTGCCCCTAAGAGCTTGACTCTTCCCTGCCACGGAGGCCAGTCTGGGCCCCTCCTGCTCCCACCTCCCCAAACCTGTCCTCAAGAGGTCACAGTGACTTCAGTTCTCAGAGGTGGCTCTACCCTGAAACCTTTAAAGAGGCCTGTGATTTCAAAATGTCCAATTGCTAACCCTGGCCATTGGTTCCCATTGCATTAAAGTCCTACAACCAAGTATGTTTAATGGGGGCAACATTTTCATTGTGCTTTGAAAAGCCCTTAGTGCCCAGGGAACCATGGTGGGATGGTGGTCCCCACAGACAGGGACAGCAGTTCAGGAACCAAGGCCTCTCTTAAAATCATCACAGGCCATTAGGGAGATCCCTGTGGCCCTCAAAAGTATCCATCAGAGACCAGGGGACATACCCCAGTAAAGTGGCGATGCTCTCTCTTCCTGCAAGGCCAAGCAGAGTAGCTTCGTGAAGAGCTGTATTTCTGAGCCTAATTAGGGGGAAAAAAATCCTGGATAAATCCTTAGTTAGCATCATCAGGAAACTGGAGAGGATGCATGGGACCCAAGGTCCTTGTTTTTTTCATCGACCTACTTAACTAACCTGGGAAACCTTTTGAGTCTCCTCTCTCTGCCCTTCTCTTGGAGGAATACTGTGATGGAGGGTAAGCTTTGATACTAGACAGTGAAAAGGTTATAAACACATTCATTTTTTAATGCGAGAAACCCACAGGATATGGTTGGTAGTTGATTTAATAAATGCTAATAAATACCATTGTTCTAAACTGCCTGCAAGAGTTTATGCAACATATTGGACATAGTCTTAACTTTGGCTTGGACCCCTCGGGCATGATAGTAGCTTCTCAGGGCTGAGGCTCCTATTTTTGTGTAGGGAAAATGGCCTTGGCTCTAGTGAGTTAGGCTTACATGACATGAAAATAAACACCAATCTTAGAAGCCAGGGGGCAGGCCTGAGAGGTCAGACACAGCATATTTTGCTGCAATGCCAGGGTTTCTGTTCATATTTCCTGGTCAGGTTTGACCTAGTGAGGGAGGAGTGGGCAACTGAAATGGAGGTCAGGGTGGTACCCGGACTCCTGAAAGGCTCCTATGCAGAGGTGGCAGGAGTGAAGGAGGGCAAGAGTCATGACTGAAAGTAGAAATGAGATAGGCATTGAATGTCTGAACTCTCTCTGCCCCTGCTCCTTCCTTTGATGCCAACACCCTCATCCCCCACACCTGCAGATGTGCCTGCAGCCATGCATTTATCCCTATGGAGAAAAAGGATAGTGGCTTCTTCTCTGAGGAAGATAAAGAGAGCCTCTGGTGAGAATCAGAGGGAAGCCTTTCACTTTCTGGCACCCAGGGGTCCCAGCGTGGGAGTAGCTCCACCTACCCAGAAAGCCTCTTGGTTGACAAAGCCCTTCTCTTATATACAAAGTTACCAGTCATCTAGTGCAAACTCCATTCTCAAATGTGAATGGACAACCAAGGCTCATAGACATCTGAGAAAATCCTGCAGAATCAAAGAGAAAACCAAGATACACAAGGAATTTAAAACAAGACAAAATCTAACTGGTATCTGCAGAATGATTCAAGACAATGTTGCACAAAAATATGAAACTATGAGAAAGAAACAATCAGAACAAAAGTAGCTCCTAGAAAGAATAAATGCGATTATTGAAATAACAATTATTCAATAGGAAGAATGGACAACAAAGTTAGGAAAATCTCTCAAAAGATGGAAGAGAAAAAGATAGATGAAACTACGGAAAAACACAAAAGAAAGACAGACATAGGGAATCAATTCAAGTAGTCCACCATCCAACTAACAGTTCTAGAAAGAGAATAGAAAAATGGAGGGGAGAAAATGCCAAAGAGATAATAGAACAAATTTTTCCTAACCTAAAGAAAGATAAGACTTTTTAAATTGAAAAGGCCAACTGGGTGAATCAAAAACAGCACATCTAAAAATACCCTTGTGAAATTTCAGAACATCAAGGATAAATGCTTTCAGAAAGAACAAACTGGTCACAAATGAAGAATTTGCCATTGAATGTTCATGGGCTATGCTGTGTGCTAGTGTGTTAGTCCATTTTCACACTGCTGATAAAGACATACCCAAGACTGGGCGGTTCACAAAAAAAGAGGTTTAACTGGAATTAGTCTGGAAAAGACTCCATTTCCTCCTTATCTTTCATTCTTTCTTCCTCGCTGGTGGCATAGAGCTTAACTGTCTGTCACTTCACCCCTACAGTTCCTTGGGCCTTTATGAGGCATTTACCATTTGAACTGGGATATATTCATAGGGTTGCCACATCTCCTATGTAGACTTATAATCTTCTTTCTTCACAATTCTCTCCAAATTGAGAGCAGAGGATTCATTCTATGTATTGCATGGGGGGTTTGCTGGTGGTTAGATTTTCTGTGCTGGCTATTTCCTGTGGATCCACAGTTCGGTTTTGGAAAATGCTGAATGGTGACTCTGCCATGGAATTTGTACTTTAAAGAAACTTTACTATTAATATACAAACAATTCAAACTACTTACTCAAATCTAAGTATCATGGTAGATTAACGTACATTCTCTCCTTAAATTACCTAATGGAATAAGTGTCCACAGCTGAACCTCTAAGAAGTAGACTGATGCTTGCATCTTCCTCACCTGGCTACTGGGACAGAGCCAGGGGATGGCACGTTTCGAATTGCCAGTGCAGTGAAGAAGGGCAACTCTTGTCCAAAAGCAAACAGCATTTCTCTGGGCTTCTCACCTAGTGAGATCTTGAATCTGTGTTTCTGAAATCTGCTAGTAAGAGGAATGAGCTTTGGTGGAGGATGTGAATTTCTCCTAGCCATTCCCTTGTGTTGAATATGATTTCATTCTGGTAGGAATGATACAAACATGGAACTAGGAAATGAGGAAAGAGCTTTCCGCCACCTGCCAAGCTACTTAATGGAAGTTATCTGGTGTAGAGACCACTTAGGCTCCACTAGCCAAACATGCTCGGATGGGAGAGAGCATTTTAATTGTTTGCTAAGGAACAACTCTCTGAGCCTCTTTTACAGTAAAACCAGACCTCTGGATGATTTATGCCTAAAAGCAATAGGATGGATGGAACGTCGAGGTCATGTTCCTGGGTTTACAGAGGTCCAGCTCCAGGCCCAAACTCTTGAAACTAACAGATATAAACCAGACTTGGCAGAATGTGGGTGTTAGTGGGAAATGCTACTGTCCTCCACTGGCATGCACTGGAAAGGAAGAAGAGATCCCTGTGCTCTATTTCAGAGAAGGCCAACCCTCTAGCTTTCCTCGCCACAACCATGTGAGCTACATACTGGCCACAGTCACCATGATCCTGCAGGGGGGTGACAAAGGCTACTACACACCGTTCAGATAGACAGGTGTAACCGCAGCGTCAGACTTTACAGACATGCGATGAGATCACATGTCGATAGAGGCCAATTTGTAGAATGGTGATGAAGCAAACATGGAAGCTGAGGCACAGCAAAATAAAAAGGCAATCTGTTCAATGCCCAAGGCACTTTCCTCCTCTTAGCTGGACTCTTCATAAAGCCAGGACTCATGCAGCTTACACTTCAATTCAAAATGTGCTCAAGTAATTTCTGTATCAATCACAAACATACTTAAATGCTATTAAAAAAGCTTTTCTGAATCATAAAAATATAAAATATGCCTTAACACAAAACAAGGTAGCACCATTTTATTAATAAAGACAATAATACAACAGTGTAGGATAAATAAAGAAGTTGACACAGTAAACCCTAAGCAAACTTGAGAAAATAAATTCCAACCATCAAAGCTTTACACCAACACACCAAATATTCTGCTGTAAAATAAAACTAAAAAAGGGGGTAGAAACTATTAAAATGCAGACATTAGTAAAATGCATATAGAAAAATTAACAGGATTATATTTTGAACACTAACACTAGAGACAATTCTGAAACAGAATAACAAGCAAAGCTACTGAAATTTTGGCCTCTGCGGTGGCATGAAGTACACAGAAGAATGTTCCACTGACACGGACCTTGACCTTGCCTTAGTAAGACTTCAGGAGGCAGGAGTGCTAGATGCCTGTGATGTCCCTAGAAGACTTACGTCAACAACGTGGTCGGCAAGATATGAGCAGTTAACATGAATGACTCATGCTCGAGGAAATTTTCACCTCACATTTTCAAAGTAATTTTCAAGAGAACAACAGAAGCATATGGCTGGAAGAGAAGGTTATGGGACAGGAGTGGACCAAGACTAGGACAGTAAGTAACAGGACTTGGTACCTTTCTGTCTTGTATCACGGGTGGGAAAGCAAGGCAGCAGGAGACCACGTGGTAGCCTCAGATGTGCCAGTCTCCTCCGCAGTGCGTGAGATCTGGAGACAACCGTATGACATTTTCTTTCCGCATTAACTTCATGGGGAATACACTGAGGTGTGTCTTCCCTTGGTGTTATCATGATTCATGATGAAAACACTGATTAACACCCCAAGGGCTAAGGATTCACTGGCCCCATACAGTATAAGCTTATGAATTAACAAAATGTATCATCATTTATAAAAGCCACTAAATTAGGCAACCCAATAGTCCATTTTTAAAATTTCGCTTTACCCAGCTATGGAAAACAGAAGGCGTTAAGCCTCTTATTAAAGCTGAAATAGGTTAAAATGGTTCAAGTGGCTGAAACTGAACAGGGCATGTGTGTAGACTGCTTCTGCCACAGTGGAGCTCCAAGCAGTTAGCCTGCTGCTACCTTAGCTCTCCTGTCAATGTGTTTCACTTACGGCCCCCACTGTTGGTCGATGTCTGCTCCTCTCTGCACGAGAACCGGAATCGCTTCATGGTGCTTATTCATAACAGCCACAGTTATGACGGGTCGATTGTCTTCATCACAGCAGTTGGGGTCTGCTCCCTGCAGCAAATGGAAAAGGACGAACTCGCCAAAAAACCCTGCACTCAACAGCATCCAGTCGCCACCGTATGAGGTATAACAGATGTGCTTTACAGAGCTGATGGAACGAAAGTGCTTTCAGATCAAAGGAGAGGAGAATCAGGAACCTCAAGACCAGATCTACAATTAACAGAGCTACAAAGTGACCCGGGTGACAAAACTTCTGTTCCCAGCATGGGCGGGGAGGGGAGGGCAGCACCCTGACAACTTGCTTCTTCAGGAAACCCAGGATAAAGGTAATATGGGGTCACGGGCCAGAGATTCTATCCAGCTTCATGCATGTTCCTTGGTCTCATCTGTGCTTCTCTGCCTATTTTCTCTGATATAAAAACTAGCAACGGGGAACAATTAATATCAAGCTTTTGACTAGCCATTCACTGCACCCTGAGTTTTCAATCAAAGGGCAGTGTAATTTTCACAGTATTGAACAAAACTTCCATCTGAAGGAGACAGAGGCGGAATGCCAGGCTGACCTCTTCAGAGAGACCTGCTCCTTTGGCGACACTTACCTCATCCAGCAGCTGTTCGATCACAGAGACTCTTCCTTCCCCCATGGGTCCAACTTCCTTCAGCAGGAGTCTGTTTTCAGGCTGTAGGATTACAGAATGTGGTCATTTCCCCCGCCTCAAAATATTCACTCAAGGCAAACACTTTCTTTCCAACGTTGAATTCTAAGTCACAAGGGCAGGTGACTATGAGTGTGTGCATGAGAGTGTGTGTGTGGTCTTCAAATAGCCCACAGCACAAATATCCACATCTAATGTCAATCTTGCTGCTCCAAAACCTTGCTTCAGGCAAGGTTACCGCATGGACACTGTCTTATATTAAGGACAAGGATGCCATGAGAAACCTCACAAAACCCAGAAACTCTACACTAATTTTATTATGACTAGCTCTAGGAAAAGCAATCAGGTGTGTCCTAAAATTTATTTTGCATACTTTATAAAGTGTTCAAGGTCAGTTGAAGTATGACAGTTCAGAAAATGTACTCCCCTGAGGAATGAATGAGCCAATACATTGACTTCTTTAGAAAAAAAGGCTGGGCATAGTAGCTCACGCCTGTAATCCCAGCACTTTGGGAGGCCGAGGCAGGCAGATCACTTGAGGTCAGGAGTTCGAGACCAGCTTGGCCAACATGGCGAAACCCTGTCTCTACTAAAAATATAATTAGCCAGGCATGTTAGCATGCCTATAATCCCAGCTACTTGGGAGGCTGAGGCAGGAGAATCGCTTGAGTCCAGGAGGCAGAGGTTGGAGTGAGATGAGAACACATAACCGCACTTCAGCCTGGGCAACACAGTGGGACTCTGACTCAAAAAACAAAACAAAACAAAGCACAGAAGAAAAGCTCTCAGAAATCTCAATATCTTTTTTTTTCTTTTCTTTTTTTTTTTTTTTCTGAGATGAAGTTTCGCTCTGTCGCCAGGCTGGAGTGCCAGTGGCATGATATTGGCTCACTGCAACCTCCGCCTCTCAGGTTTAAGTGATTCTCCTGCCTCAGCCTCCCGAGTAGCTGGGACTACAGGTATGTGCCACCACTCCTGGCTAATTTTTTGTATTTTTAATAGAGATAGGGTTTCACCGTGTTAGCCAGGATGGTCTCGATCTCCTGACCTCATGATCCGCCCTCCACAGCCTCCTAAAGTGCTGGAATTACAGGCATGAGCCACTGGGCCTGACTGAAGAACTTATCTTTTTATGTTTTTAAATGCCATATATTCATCTTTATATATAAAGAATTTCAAATGCTGGAAGACTGAAGGAAGCTATTTAGAAAGCAAGAGACATTGCTTTTAGTATGTTGCCTCTGGATCCCAGACATGGCTGTGGGGTGGTCACAGGACCACCATTTCCATTTGTAAAGTGGAAATAAAACCTTCCCTGTCCTTGCTCCTGTGAAGCCATGGCCATGAGGACACTGGTCAAGGCCTCTGAGCCTTTGAAGATGATGCCTGGTCCAGGCGGTGCCGCCTCCTTTCTCGCTGTCCCCATCTTACCAATGAATAGCTTGGAACCAAGTGCTCTAATCAGTAAACCCCCAGCAGGGATCTTGGGGAGCACTTGTTTACACTGATTTCCATTCCTCATGGAAAAGTGTACTAGAATGCACTGGACTATCAGCTTCAGGAGGTGTGAGGGTTTACATCTTTTGTTCAGGTTATATTTTCAACACGTACAACAGTGCCTGGTACACATGTGCTCAAAAATCATAACTGAATGAGTGAACAAAAGTTATAGCTTCTGATACGTATCCCCTAAATGCAAATGAGAAAAAAAAAAAGGCATACACAGTGGGAGATTCAGGTTATACACAGAGTAAATAGGTAGAGTCTCCCAAATTGTAAGCTGTTCAGTTTATGGAACTCTATGCTTCTTTTATACTCATTAACAATATTTCAAACTGGGAGAAGGTGGTGAGTACAAGAAGTCCTAAACAATAAAAGGTAAAACAATTCTAACATATTCTTTCCAAATATACTGGTGTTTGTTACATACAAAGCATGTGGTGGGGGAAAAAAAAAAAGATAAAGAACAGAGTCCCCGCCTCCAGAGGAATCAGGATGCAAGCTGGGCAGCTGGTGCCTGCATTGACAAGGCCCCGTTGAGGGCCTGGCCTTGGAACCACACATGGAGGGAAGCACCCGGCATCATGCAAGTGTCTAGCTCGGGCCTGGGCCCGGGCCTTGGGGCTTGCTGCTAATCATATCTGTTCTTTGCATTGCAGTCAAGGAGGACCAATTAAAAGGCAAGGTTGGGGATGGAGCAGGGGGCATCCACTGCTCTTTTCTCCAAAGCCCCTTTTAGAATTATTCTTGGCATATATTTTTAAAACACAAAACTCTAAAAGATATGGGAAACTCTGAAAGGGTACTAACCATCAGTGAATTAGTAATTTTGAGAAATTCCAAGAAGACTGAAAGTAGATGAAATCTGACTAACAGGGAAACCAAACCAAAACAAACAAACAAAAATCCAGCTGAAGACACCAGAGGTAGGAGTGTTTTCTCTCCAGGGCAGCCCTGCAAAAGCTTAAATTAATCAATATGGAGGTTAGGTGTTGGGTGCAGCCTGAATGCATGAGTAGATTACTAAGGGCTCTATGGTGAATAGCTGAGATCTCTGGTGCCTTACCCCTTCTCCCCCATGTAAGAAGGGCAGGAGGCTTGTGGTCTTTGCCCTGATAACTATTTTGCAGAAAGTATAAGATTTGCCCAACAAAGGATTCTATTTGGTGCAATGGGGCCCAAGAAGGGAGAAGGGCAGAGCCTAGACCTCCATGACGGACATAGGGGAGGGTGTAGAGGGAAAGGAAAAAAGCTTCATCACAAACTGAAACCTGTGAGAACGCTTCACACCACCAACACCCTCACCACCAGAGGAAGACCTTTTCCGCCAGCAACACAGAGGATCTGAAGGCTTTCTCCTGCTCCCTGCCCACACACCCTCCAGGGACATCTGTCCACAACATGCCCATCCACTCACACAGGGACTTCAGGGCCCATCCTCATGCTGGGCACCATGCCAGCATCTGCGCTACCCAACTAGTCTTCGTTTATCAAATGACCAGATAACCAAGGATCTGTATTTGAGGCAAACCAAAGACAAGAAAGAGAAAGATAGGCAGACAGAACTGACCCCAGAGGAAACACAGAGATGATTCAGGGAACTGATGGGAACTTTGAAATAACTCTAATTCATCATCTTGAGCTATTTTAAAGAAGTCTACCTCTACAAAATAGAAGCCCTTATTTAAAAAAAGGAACAGAAAATGAGAAATTATTCTTCCATTTTAAAAAAGTCAAATAAAACCTGAAAATCACAGACTGAAGACAATATCCATAAGGACCAAAAAAGACACTTACTAAAAGCTGCTCCTTCTTTTCTTGAAAAGTTTTGGTCTTGAAATTCCTTATCCTTTTGATTTTTTCAATAGTATCTGAGGTGCTCTGGCTGTAGTCACTCACTGAAATGACACAGTTGGGGAAAAAAATGATGCCCCTCCCCCAACTCCCCACACAAAGGGTTATTTCTTACTCCCATGTCCCTCAAAAGTCAGAGGACAAAATGGCTTTCATAGAAATTTCTATTTGATTAAACCTGGCAGGAGAGACTCCTGGAGCCACTCCGCTGTCCAGGAACCAGAGGAAGGGTGGGAAGCAGAGGAAAAGAAGGGACTTCAGTTTTTAGTTCCAAAAGTGCACCCCACAAATGAATTTCCCCAAGCCCTGTAAAGGAATTCAAAGGTCTCACCTCTGAGTTCGGAGAAGCCAGAGAAATAAAATGACTGGAACATAGTTGCAAGGTCTGTGACTGGGCTGTCAAACTCTTAGCAATTCTCTGCTATCCCCGCCAAGTCCATGTGTTCCTGGTTAGTTGTTTTAAAATTGCCAGAAGGGAATAACTCACCCCAGCTGGACCTGCTGCCGCACAGCCCCCCATCACCCTCGGCAGCACTGCTCAGAAGGTGGTCGCTGAAATTCACCGCCTTGTTCAGGTAGAGGTTCTGGCCAATGAAAACATTCAAACACCAGGAATGATGAGGCTGCTTTGTCCCACTAGAAAGAAGGATCTCTCTGCTAACCTGCTCCTCCTCATTAAGGACAGCTCTACCTACCCAGACAGTCCAGCCTGAGACCTGGGGTCCTTCCTGACTCCTCCTTACCCCCCAGGATGCTTTGTCCATTCTGCTGCTTACCCAGCGGCTCAGTCTGGCCCCTCCTCCTCTCCCTCACTGCAGCCCTGGCCCCCTCAGCTCACATTGGGACCATCACAATAGCCTCTCCACAGGGGTCTGCCAGCCTCCCTGCATGTGGCTGTCCCAGTCACGTTTTATACCCTTTATAAGTGATTGTGTCAATTCTCTGCTTAAAGTCCTTCAGTGTCTTGGAATTACGGTATCATGATGAAGGTCCCAGGCTGCCAAGTGTGAATCCTGGGTCTGCCACTTACTAACTTAGTGCCCTTGGAAGAAGCAGGTTGCTTAACTTCTCTGAGCCTCAGTTTCCTCACCTGGAAAGCGGAAATACTATGAGCTACCTCAATGGCATGTTGTAAAAGCAAAATGCGGTAAAAGGGGCATCTCTATAATGAGGCCAGACACAGAAGTCTGTGTGCACCCGAACTAATCCCCCTGCACCCTCATGTGGCTGCCTGCTCTTGTCCCAGGCAATAGCCTGCTACTTCCTGAACACTAGAACACACAGGCCAAGAAAAGATTTATTAAACCTAAGAGCCAGGTGCGGTGGCTCATGCCTATAATCCCAGCACTTTGGGAGGCTGAGACAGGTGGATCACTTGAGGCCAGGAGTTCGAGATCAGCGTAGCCAACATGGTGAAACCCCATCTCTACTAAAAATACAAAACTTAGCTGGGTGTGGTGGCATGTGCCTGTAATCCCAGCTACATAGGCAGCTGAGGAACAAGAATTGCTTGAACCCAGCAGGTGGAGGTTGCAGTGAGCCAAGATTGTGCCACTGCACTCCAGCCTGGTTGACAGAGCAAGAATTTGTTAAAAAAAAAAAAAAAAGAAAAAAGAAAGAAAGAAAGAAAAAAAGAAAATGAAAAAGAAAAAAAAATCACCTGGGAACAGTTATTCCAATTCTAGCGGCCCACCCCGTTCCCACTAGCTGGCCAGGTTACTCACCCCAGCTGTTGTGTAGCTGCTAAGAGTTCACTGCTGGACCTCCTTCTCCAGCAAAGTGCCCTCAGGAGGTGGATGCTGCCTTGCCCTAGAGGTTATGCTCCCTCTCCTACCTGACTCAACTGGGGGCAACTTGGTGGTGTAATTCATCCTCCAGAGGTTCCCTTGGATCAAGCTAAAGCTCAGCTTTGCTTTTATCTACCTGCTTATTCAGCACCTTCCCCTGCCTTGACCTGCTTTTCTCACTTCCCTTCCCCTGAAGTTCCTCTCTGACCCAAGCTCTGCTCTAGCCACACAATTAAAAACAGCAGTTAGTGCTTTATTTGGTTTCAAAGCACATTCATGTGCATTAGCCCATTAGATACTCGCAGCCTCCCTGTGAATTAGACACGGCCCATGTTTCTATCCCAATTTCAGCAACACCATCAGCACCTTGCCAGGGCCTAATAAATGTTAATTTCCCTCCTTTTCCTTGGTTTCTTAATAGACTGATTAATTATTCTGACTTCTTGTCCAATGAAACTAAAGCTGCTAATGTCAATCAATTAATGTTCGAAACACACAGGCTCTGTGGCAATGCCTCAGTCACCATATAAAAGGGAAGATCAAGGACACATGGCCACAGAGTTTGGTTTATTTTATGGAAGAAAATATGTCAAAGTGCATATCAGCAAATATTTTTGTTAGTCTTTCCCCAAATCAATTGTATCACAGACATGTCATCAGACTTCAGTGAGTCTGAGTAAGCCTGAGAACTACAGAACAACTCCTGTTCTCACTATATCTTTATGTGTCTGTCTGAGGTTTAACTTGTTTATCCAATTCTATGAAATTGCTTGCCTCTAGGAGCATTTCATAATATCTGAAACTTTTCCTTTCTATGTATTACACAGAAGCATTTCTATAAATTGTAAGTCTCAATTTACTACATCAGTCAATTCTCAAATGAATAACTTCTGGAGGCTTACTCACCTTGTTTGAGACTTGACTATAATTCAGTCTGATGCTAACTTCACAACCGTCTTCGTGGACAGTAGCAGAGATAAGCTTTTAAAAGAGTTGTAGAGAGAATTCATAACTGTGAGTGTAGGACTCATTGCCTCAAGTAACACCATAGAAATTCTGAGATGCTAAACTCTAAATTTAACCAAATATTTAAATAACACAGAAGAAAGTAAAAAGAAAAACAGAGCAACAAAAACTAGATGAGATAAATAGAAAACAAAGAAGAAAATGGCGATCCAAATCCAACCACATCTAAATTCTACTAATTATAAATAAGCTAAATAATTAAAGAGAAGAGACTGCCAAACTGAATAAAAAGGCAAGATCCAAATCTATACATACAGTCTTCAAGAGATGAACTTTAATCAAACCACATGACTAGATGTCATCACCTTGGAAAATGTATCCTGGTAGGGGGTGGGGACAGGGCTTGGCAATTAAGGGACAAGTATCACAGTTGAGCAGCTTTCTCTGTAAGTAGCAATAGGAATTTAGATTCAGCCAAGGGGCAAGAAATGTTTTCATGAAGGGTCAGATAGTAAATATTTTAGGTCTTGTGGACCATATGTTCTGTATCGTGAATACTTTATTGTCATAGCACAAAGCAGCCACATAAGTAAAGGAATGGGTGCAGCTGTGATCCAATAAAATTTTATTTATAAAACTGGGCAGTGGGCCAGATTTGTCCCAACCGCCATAGTTTGCAGATCTCTGGATTAGGCCGAAGAATTCATAAACTACCAAAATAGATTATCAAAGGAAATTGGGCAATACTTGAAAATGAGATCATCTCGATATTGGCCTATTTGGCAGCAGAAGAGTACACAGTCTATTTCATAAAGTTCCTTCTAGTCTTGCAACAAACAGAGGAAAGGTCTTCTCACAGAGCAGTCTTTTTATAATGGCAATGTAATATCAAAGAAAGGACATGGGACTCTGGCAGGGTCTGACAGATCTGCTTCAAATCTTGAACCCCATGAGACCCAGCAGTGTAGTCCTGGGCAGGTCACCAAACCTCTCTGAGCTTCAATATTCCTGGGTGTCAAATAAGGCTTCTTCTGATTATCAACTGTGGTGTGAAAAACCACCCCAAACTTAGTGGCATTAAACCACCACCACTTTATTATGCTATGGATTCAGAGAGGGCACAGCAGACGAGCTTGTCTTTGCTCCACATGTCTGAGGCCTCAGCTAGAAGAGTCAAATGGCTAGAGGTGGTTGGATGTTTGGGGGTTGGAATCATCTAGAGTCTGGTCACCCATGTGGCTCATGAGCAGAGATGACTCGAGGACTGGGTTCAGCTGGCGCACCTACATGTGGCCACTCCATGTTGCTTGGGCTTCTCATAGCAGGGTGGCTGAGCTCCAAGAAGGAGTGTTGGAAGTGAGTGTGCCAAGCAAGAAAAAGCCACATGACCTTCTGTGGCCAAGCCCTGTAAGTCTCATGGCATCACTTCCACCATAGTCCATTAGTCAAACAGTCACAGACCCGCCCAGGATCAAGGTGAGGGGACACAGATTCTACCATGTGAGGGGAAGACAGTCAAGAAATTTGTGGTTATTTTTTTAAAAAGTGATCACAAAGGTAATACTCCTGTCTTGCAGGTTTGCTGTGAAGACGAGAATGATGAATACAATGCTGATGCTGGGTGCACTGTAAAATGGCAGCTGTTATGTTACTATGGCTATATATTAACAGTGCATGATTTAAGTGCACAATCTGGCTGGATTAAATTGTTCTAGGACCTTTCATTCTGACTCTTAGAATTTCCAATGTGGCGTCTGAGCACGAGATGTTCAGGTCTTAGGTCAGGCGTCCCAGAAGCAGACTCTGAGACAATCTTCATGTGCAAATGATTTATTAGAGCAGAGTTCACAAGGCAGAAGAGTAAGAATGTGTAGAAAGCAGAACAGGAAAGGGAAAGGAGCCAGGCAAGATGCAGTTTCAGGAGAAGTCCATGGAGGGTTCCTTCAGCCTGATCCCATAGACACTTGTGGAGTAGAAATTTCTTCTCACCCACCTTTCCCATCCTGGGTTCTGCAATCAAGGCCCGGAATTCAGGGTTGTTCTGAGCATAACACCTGAGGTGAGCAGAGATGTGATCCAGCTGTCTTCTCCAGTACCCTAAGAAAGAAGAGAAACCCAGCCATCTGGATGATTCTCCTGAGGCTAAGAAAGAAAAATGCTAGCATGGAACATACGGTCTCAGAGAGGTTGATTTCCTTTGTCAAACTTTGTGATGGACTCTCCTTAGTAAACCTCATCTATGTCCTGAAACAAGTTCCATTTTTCCCCATAACTGTTTGTTACATGTGATTAATCACGGACTATTATAGAATCTCAAAAGAGGCTGGGCGTGGTGGCTCACGCTTGTAATCCAACACTTTGGGAGGCTGAGGCAGGTGGATCACTTGAGGTCAAAAGTTCGAGACCAGCCTGGCCAACATGGTGAAACTCTGCCCCTACTAATAATACAAAAATTAGCTGAGCATGGTGGCATGCGCACCTGTAGCTCCGGCTACTCAGGAGGCTGGGTCAGGAGAATCACTTGAATCTGGGAGGCAGACGTTGCAATGAGGTGAAATTGCACCACTGTACTCCAGCCTGGGCAACAGAGCAAGACTACATCTCAAAAAAAAAAAAAAAAAAAAATCTCAAAAGAACATATTTTGATTGCCACACATGGGGTCTTTTCTTTTTCTATGATTCTATCCCACCTATAATAACTTACCTAATATTTTATTTTATTTATTTTGAGATAGGATCTCACTCTGTTGCCCAGGCTAGAGTACAGTGGTGTGATCATGGCTTACCACAGATTTGACCTCCCTGGGCTCAGATGGTCCTCCCACCTCAGCCGCCCAAGTAGCTGGGAATTCAAGAATGTGCCACAACACCTGGCTACTGTTTGTATTTTTTATAGAGATGGAGTTTCACCACGTTGCCCAGGCTGGTTACAAACTCCTAGGCTCAAGTGTTCTGCTTGCCTCAGCCTCCCAAAGTGCTAGGATTATAGGTGTGAGCCACTGCACCAAGCCCTTACACAATATTTTAAATGTACCATTTGGTGCTTGCCAAACATGTATACCCCAATCAATATATAAAACATTTCTATCACTCTAAAAAGTTCTCTTAGGCCCCTTTCCAGTCTGCATAGGGTTTAAGACACATTTGAATTAGTTGCCACCATTTAAAACTTGACAGATTTCATGTGAGTATGATGCCTGGTTTCCCACATGCAGGCGGAAGATGCAGGGGTGCTGGGCTCACCTTCCCACACAGGCTGACCACCTGAGGCCAAGGAGCAGCTGGCTGCTTTGTACAGGGCACAGGCTCTCCAGCTGGCCACAGCCCCTGCTGTGCCCTGTGGCCACTCAACTCTGCAAACCCACATCGGATCCCACCTACCAAATGAAGACACTAAGCTGAAAGCAATCAGAGGGATTTTCCAAGGTCATGCAGCACAGTTCAGTGGAAAGAGCACATAATTTGGAGTTCAGACAAGCCTGTGTTTAAATCCTAAATCTACCATTTATTAGCTTAGTGATGTTGAGCCAGACACTTAAATCTCCCTAAGCCTTAACTTTTCTTATCTAATAAAATGGAACTAATACCCCCTACCTCATGTGTTATTGTGACATTAAACAAGAGAACCTAAGTGTTCTTAGTTGTGTTCCCCTGAAAGCAGAACCTGAGATAAAGACTTAGGACAGGTGGTTTCTTTGGAAGGTGACCGTGGGACATGCAAGTGATGGAGTATAAAGAGCAAGACAGGGAAGGGAAGGAAGAACGAATGTGTTAAAAACTGGTTAATACCTTGGGCAACTGGGGCCCAGTCTTGCTGGGGGATATGAGGGACCATGGAGAACATGTCTCACAGTTGTCCGCTGAAGGACAGAGAAGCTAGGGGATCTGCTCCCCAGTTCCTTTGCCCATGAGTGAGGGCAGCCCAAGTAACGTTAACTCCCAGTGCCTCAGGGTTGCATCTGTGCGTGGATAGGCAGCCTTCTCCTGTTCTGAAGCTGGAGGCAGCAAAGTCAAGAGACGTACAACTATTTAAATAAAACAGCAAGAGAGAGAATGGGGCACAATTGGTGAGGCATGCTAGTAACGATGGGTGAAACCATCTATCACAGCTGCACTGAGAACAGGCAGGGTGAGATCTGGCTTGGGGCATCTGGAGAGTCCACTATGAGTAACTGAGACAACACTAGAGATCATACTGAGCCTAGTGCACTGTTTGACACAAAGTAGCCATTTATCCCACAAATATTTACTGGGCACCTACCATTGGTCATGTACTATTCTAGGGCTAGGATACAGAAGTGAACAGAGTTCTTGCCCTCAAGGAGCTTACATTCTTAGTGGACACAGATAATATGAAAATAAATATGTATGTAACAGTATGTTAAAAATGAGGTTCTGACTGAGAAGCTACAATGTCATAGATCCATATTTCTTTTTTTTTTTTTTTAGATGGAGTCTTGCTCTTGTTGCCCAGGCTGGAGTGCAGTGGCATGATCTCGGCTCACTACAACCTCCACCTCCTGGGTTCAAGCCATTCTCCTGCCTCAGCCTCCTGAGTAGCTGGGATTACAGGCACCCACCACCACATCTGGCTAATTTTTGTACTTTTAGTAGAGACGGGGTTTTGCTGTGTTGGCCAGGCTGGTCTCAAACTCCTGACCTCAGGTGATCTGCCTGCTTCAGCCTCCCAAAGTATTCTGGTTACAGGCACGAGCCACTGCGCCTGGCCTAGATGTACATTTCTAAAATCAAATCTCAACTCTCAAAAAAGCACTGAGCAAGGACCTTGTGAGGAAGTCCTTTGGAAAGGGTCATTGTAAGACTGTGAGTCCCCATGGGGAGGTGAGATCTATGCCCTTCCAGCTCAGGCTGAACAAGGGGATTCGAAGGGACTAGCTTCTGCCACAGGAAACTGAAAACCTGTTTCTATTATCCACTGCTACCAAACAAAACACCCCAGAACTTAGTGGTTTAAAACATCAACCACTTTACTGCCCATACTTCTGTGGGTCAAGAATATGGTCAGTGCTCTGCAGGGATGGTTCATCTTTGCTCCACATGGTGTCAGTTGAGCCATCTCAAATAGGGCTATGGGATCGAAGATTATCTCATCCACAAGGCTAAGGCCTCAGTGAAGATGGCACAAACTACTGGGAGCTGTCTGGGATGGCTCAGCCTTCATCTGCACTCATTCAAATGTCTGGAGTCTTTGGGTTGGGTGCTGGCTCAGGTGCTCTGTTCTCCTTCATGTGGCATCTCTTCTAATTCAGTAATCTATACTGAACTTCTTTACACAGTGCTGACTTCCTAGAGAGTTAAGTGGAAGCTTTCAGCTCTCATAAGGCCTAGGCCCAGAACTATCATGGTGTCTCTTCTACTGCTCTCTATGTCAAAGCAAGTCACAAGGTTCGTCCAGATTCCAAAGGAAGAGAAATAGCCTCTTCCTCCGAAGGACAGGGGGGATGTGAGGAGTGATTCTGGTCATCTCTGCAGACAATCTACCATAGGTCTGATATGACATTTATATCTGGAAGAGTTCAGTCAGACTGTGGGCTGAGTTTTGACTCCTACTAAGCACATCCACAGGGCAAAGGAAGAGCTGGCAATGACCAACTTCGGGCATGGCAGCCTAGGGATTTGAGTGGACCTACTCTCCAGTAAAATTGTTAGAGTAGTTAGCTAGGGAGACATGAGCAGGGCAGGAAAGGCTCCCCTGACCCCCAGAAATGTCAGGTGACCATCAGATGATGGTCAGGCAGTTGTTAAACTTTCTCTAAAATAACAATTGGCTGCAGCTGGTGCCAGGGGATAGCGGTCTCCCAATATATAGAAAACACCTGAAGCTGGTGATCAGTAGCTTCCCAACGAGATCGCAGGAGTTGGGCAAGCGGGCTCACACATGTGCACTAAGAAGAAAAATGGCAGAGCTTAACTGGCACATGATCTTTCTCCAGGAACACTCAATGGATAAGGGAATGCCTCAAGTGAGCAAGCACACGACTTCAGTAAACATACGGCCCATGTGGTCCCTCCCAAGTACTGGCAGGCCACTGCACATGGGGAGTGCCCACCAAGAAGAATCTGGGGAGAAGTAATGCAAACTCTGGAACCTTGCCAATGTATAAGCCTCACGTCAAGGGCTGAACAGAGCACTTGAATCTCTCAAGTCACCCACCTGGCCTTCTTCAAAGTGTACTTCCTTTCGTTCCTGCTCTAAAACTTTTCAATAAACTTTCACTCCTGCTCTAAAACTTGCCTCAGTCTCTCACTCTGCCTTATGCCTCTCGGCCAAATTCTTTCCTCCTTGGAAGCAAGAACTGAGGTTGCTGCAGACCTGTACAAATTCGTCACTGCTAACAAACTACTTTTAAAAACAGCAAAATCCATCACAAGTATTTTAAGTATCTAGAAATGGTTCTAAAGCCATACAGAAAATAAACATTTAATGAAAATATACCAAAACTCAGAATCATGAGAGTCTGTGGTGTTTGAACCATGGGCCATTCCCTTCTACTCCTTCTCAGCTGAGCATGATGGAAACTCCACTCCATTTGGTGCAGCTGAGTACACAGGGTTCCCTCTCCTCAGAGTTCCCAAAGTGGTGTAGTATCTTCCAAGGAAGGTCAGGGACTTCAGTATTTCTCATCCTGTCCCAGTTGCCCTTTGCACAGGCTAAGTTCTGGCCAAGTGTGATCAAGAGACGGGGGCTCCCTTTCTCTGCCCAGTTACCATTCATGGCATGGATGTTCTACCTTTGATCTGGGACACTGAGAATACTGGGGTCCAGACCACCTATTCCTGGCTCATTCAGCACAAGTCCAAAGTTGGGAGAAGCATGTCATGAAGAACAAAAGCTACGGTTGCACCTGCTCTGCTGCTTACCCAGCCCCTAAAGCAATGCTGTCACACTGAAAAAAACATGCCATTGTCTCCATCCAGAGCATTGGCTCAGAGATTTTGCCCAGGGGAAGAGGCAGGTCAAAAAACAGAGTTCAGAATCTCTCCCCAAAGAAACAGACTTCATTTGCAACAAAGTGTGGGTAAGTTCAAGCCTAAGGCTGCTTTCAAAACAATGGAGGGTGTGTTAAAAAGCAGTT